AAATTTCTTTTCAGATCAAAATATCACCAAGCAATTTATCTAAAATTTTAATTGTGAAAACCTCCGGTGAATTTTTATGGTAAAGTTGGGGCTTCTCTGTGGCAAGACTATCTACCAAAGGTGTTGGATGTTAGTGAATTTTGCATGATCCAAGTCTTGACTTGATCTGGACTCATGGACACAGACTTGTGCTTTATGGACCCATTAAAAAGAGCCTGGGTCATAGAACCAATTTGGTCTTACTTTGCCACTTAGTATCCTTGAAATCGTGCAGTCATTTGCACTCACTAAAGCTCAGTTTCCTCCTCTGTAAAATAAAGTTAATACCCTACCCTTTGTTGTTGTGAAGACTTAACAAGATGTGCTGACATATAGTAAAAACTCAATGAATAGAAATGTAATGATACTGATGATAATGATAATAACAACCATGACAGCATGATAAGAATAGCCAATTCTTTATTTGCTGCTGTAAATATTACTATTAGTGTTTTCCTTTCTTTTTTTTTTAAATTTGCTATAGGGTGTGTGCTCTTGCCAGAAAGAGACAAAGGAAGAGAGAAAGTGACAAAGCTACAAAGCACCCCTCTCCCCCACCCCCCAGGGAGGATGACCATGCTACAGTCCCTTCTCCCCCATTCTCATTGGGATTTTGGGCATGCGCACTGTGCTTTTCAAACTGCTAGGTCCAGAAGTTCAGACACTCATTCAACTATGTGGGATCCAGATACTGTAACCTCCATGCCACCTCGCTGGCCCTACTATCAGTTTTATAAAGACACCAATTAGCCTTAACTGAAACTATTCTTCCTATAGAAAAGTTATACGCAGGAAGAAAAATTGTCCGAAAGTTGTGTGGAGAACCTCAGTCTAAACTAGGAGTTAGTTTAATGGTTCATGACTTTGGCAGCCTCATGTAGCCACCTGACCACAGCATCATATCTCTAAGGTGACCCAGATCCTCAGATTTGTAGATCAGGACATCCCCTGCCTGAGCAATTTGAATGCTCTCTGCTATTCTCTGCACTCCTTTACTGTTTGTATTAGTGATCAGCTCTTTCATGGTCATTTCCTTTACTCTACAGCAATCATACTCCTGTGGCCATATTGTCATCTCCAAAGTCACCTTTAACCTTGAAAATGTCCTATCCCTACTTCTGATAGTTTAGTATCCTGCCACAAGATTTCTCACTTTCTTTCTCTCTGTCTCTCTCTTTTTGGTGAGTGCATGTGCCCTATAGCAAAAACTTCTCAAAAAAAAAAATAATAATAATAATAAGGGGTCAATACTTAAACTATGAAACACATTATAGAGGAAATTTTAGAAACAAAACTTTTTCTGTTTTCCTTTTTGTTTTTCAGTTTTCTTGTTTTGCTTGAAATTTAGCACTTGGCTTTTATTATTATTATTTTAAAGGATTATTTATTTAATTTTATTTATTATTATTATCTTGGCTAATTTAACTTGAGAGAGCTAGAGAAAGGGAAAGTAAGAAAGCAAGCTGCCATGTCCTGGACTCAAACTGTGGTCGGCCATGTGGGAGTCCAGTGCCCCAACTACTGTGCTACCTGCCAGCCGTGTTTATTATTCTTATTATTAATGATAATAAAACCTTACAGTCAGCCATGTGGGTTCTGGCTCTCTTAACCACTAGGCTGCAGGGTCAGCTCAGTCCAGGTTTTTTAAATTATTTTGTTACTTTTTTACATGCAATTACTGTACATCTTTACAGACTACAAAACAGATTTTCCCAGCATGAATACATTGTATATTACTCCAGGTAAAGATATTACCATATACATTATCATCATCACATAATTTTCCATTTCTGTGTTTGTTAAATGATTTTGCTACTTATTTTTCTCCTTGATTCCCTTCCTCCCACCATTGTCTATCTTCTTCCCATACTGTCTCTGCTTTCTACAGTTGCTCTCCATGCCTTGATACCTTACAATCTTTCAGTTTCTGTCATAGAGTGCAGATATTTAGTATGCTTTCAGTTTCTGTCATAGAGTGCAGACATTTAGTATGTATTAAGCGGGGACATATGATGCTTCTCTTTTATAGTCTGGCTTGCTTCACTCACCATTAAACCTTCCATATTCATCCACTTTTTATCAAATGCCAGGGTCTCATCATTTTTTATAGTTGAGTAGTATTCTATAGTGTATATGTGCCACAATTTTTCAATCCATTCATCTGGGACTTTTGAGTTGATTTCATGTTTTAGCAATTGTGAATAATGCTGCAGTAAACATGAATGTACAAATACTTTTCCAACCAAGTGTATTTCTATCCTTTGGGTAGATACTCAGGATTAGAATTACTGGATTTGTATGGTAGTTCTATTGTAGGTTTTTGAGGAATCTCATTTTGTTTTCTACTGTGGTTATACTAATTTACATTCTCACCAACACTATAGGAGAGTTCCCTTTTCACTGCAGCCTCCCCAGCACTTATTATTCTTTTTTTTAAAATCTTAGTCATTCTAAGGGTTAGATGGTACCTCACTGTGGTTTTGATTTGCATCTCCTTTATGATAAGGGATGCTGAGCATGCTTTTTGGCTCTTCATATGTCTTCCTTGGAGAGTTGTCTGTTCAGCTTATTTGCTCATCTTTTAATTTGACTGAATATTTTTTGTTGGGTGAACTGCTTGAGTTCCCTGCATATTCTGGTTATTAGTTCCTCATCTGAGGCATTGTTTGCAAATTTGTTCTCCCTTTCAGAAGATTATCTCTTCACTCTAATTATTTCTTTTGCTGTGCAGAAGCTTTTTAACCTCATGTAATTCCACTTGTCTTTTTTTGTTTTTTTTCTTTTTGAGAGATTTTTGCTCTTAAGGAACATATACTCACTGGAGAGACAGAGAGAGACAGAGAATCAGAAAGCAAAAACATCACCCCACACAAGAGGGATGGACATGGCACAATCCTTCCTCGTCCATTCTCCTCTTGGGGTTTTGGGCACCCATGCACTCTCACCTTGCTTGAGTTTCAAGCCACCAGGTCTGGAATTTGAACCATGGTCTGTCATGTGGAAGTCCATCACCTTAACCATTATACCAGCTGCAGGCCCCCAGCATGTTCACTTCTGAGATTACTACATGTGCTTTGAAGATCTTATTTAAAAATTTTTTGAAACTCCAACATTTCTGAGCATTTCCTCTGTGTTTTCCATCAGTGATTTTATAGTTTGAAGCCACCAGGTCTGGAATTTGAACCATGGTCTGTCATGTGGAAGTCCATCACCTTAACCATTATACCAGCTGCAGGCCCCCAGCATGTTCACTTCTGAGATTACTACATGTGCTTTGAAGATCTTATTTAAAAATTTTTTGAAACTCCAACATTTCTGAGCATTTCCTCTGTGTTTTCCATCAGTGATTTTATAGTTTGAGATTCTATGTTTAGATCTTTGATCCATTTTCAGTTGATTTTTGTTAGTGGTGAAAGATAAGGGTCCAGTTTCATTTTTCTGCAGGTGGTCATCTTGTTTTTCCAGCATCACTTGCTGAAGAGATTTTCTTTTCCCACTAGATTAACTTGTGTCCTTTGTTAAAAATCAGTTGGCTATACATTTTAGGGTTTATTTCTGGGTTCTCTATTCTGTCCATTGGTCTATATGCCTGTTTTTGTGCAGTACTATGCTGTTTTGACTATCACAGCTTTGTAATATATTTTGGGGTCAGGGAGTGAGATGCTTCCTACTTCCCTCTTTTTGCACAGTATTGCTTTGACAATACAGGTCCTTTTATGATCTCAGACACATTTTATGATTGTTTTTTCTAATTATGTGAAGAACGTCTCTGGTAATTTGATTGAGATTGCATTAAATTTATAAATTATTCTGGGCAGAAATGGCATTTTGATTATGTTCATTCTTTTTAACCCAGGAACATGGGATGTCTCCACTTCTTTGTACTGTTTTCTATTTTTTTAACCTTTTCATAATTTTCCTTGCAGAGAGCTTTGACTTCCTTATTTATTCCCAGGTATCTTATATTTCTTGTGGTTATTGTAAATGGAATTGCTTTTTTCAGTTCTACCTCAATCTACTCATTGTTGGTATATAGGAACACTATAGTTTGGTTTTTTTTTAAGTTTATTTTGTATATCTGGACTTCCGTGTAGTCAACTAGTTAGAATCTCAGACCTAGTGGCTTAAAACTCATGACAGATGTGTGTGTGCGTGCATGCCCAAAATCCTGTGAGAATGGAGGAGAAGGGATTATAGCATGCCCATCCCTCCTGGGGGATGATTTCTTACTTTCTGTCTCTTTGTCTTCTCTGTCTCTCAGGTGAGTGCACATACCCTGTAGTAAAGATCTCTTTTTTTAAAAATAGAGATAATTTCACATCTTCTTTTCATATTTGAATGCATTTTATTTTCTTCTCTTGTCTGATTGTATTGCTTTGGACTCCAGTACTGCTGAAAAGGAGTGGAAAAAGAGGGCAGTCTTGGCTTGTTCCATTTTTCAGTGGAATAGGTTTCAACTTTTCTCCATGTAGTATGATGTTAGCTATGAGTTTTTCATATATTACTTTTATTGTGTTGAGAAAAATCCCTTCTATGCCAGTTTTGCTGAGAGCCTTAATCATGTTTCGTTATTAATGATCGACCCTACCACTCTCAATAACTCAGACATAGGCTAGCTTTCCAGGGTTAGGCTAAAAGATAAACCTAAATTCCTGACAACATAATGTATTCAAAATCATTCTCCTGTCCAGCTTCCAAACCACTGAGGGTGTTTACTAGCCAACTTGACTCTCCTTTAGGATGAATTCTTTTCCAGAAGGTTCTTTGTATAAACAGCTGCCCAGCACCCTCCCCTCCCTACTTATTACAACTTAAGCTGAAATCTCTATTATCCTGACTGGAAGAATAAATAAATAAGTAAATAAGTGATTGAATGAAATAAATAATTAATTCATCTAACAGTAGAAAAGCCATTGCTTGTTCACTATATGATTCGGAGAAAAATCATTCTATCTTTCCAGGTGATAGAAGATAGACTTAAGTTAGAAAAAGATAAGGAAAAAGCAAAATCTCCTAAGGAGAAGAAGACCTCAACTGCCAAGGTTGCCAAAAGCAAGGGAAAGGATCAGCCTGAGGCCAGCACAACAGTGAAAAAGACCACCCAGTTAAAGCGGCGTGGGGAAGATGATGGCACCAAACTTTACATCGGTTAGTAAGGTGTGGGGGTTGCCTTTCACTTCTTGCTTCACAATTTATGAAGTAACTTGAGAAATCTTTCCAATAACTATGTTTAAACTTCTCCAGCTTTTTCACTCTTTATAGAACTATTAATCACTATTCTCCATGATACTCTAATAGGAAAATATTTCTATTCACTACTCATTTATGGTTGTAACAAATACTTATTTAACAAGTGTCTTGCTAGGTGCATTTATGTAGTCCCTAGCAAGGATGAAATAGCAAGCTAATTATGCCACCAAGGAGCTTACTATCTTGTTGAGAACATGAAGGAAGGTCAGACAAAATTAGAAGGCAAAGCAGTAAATAAAATGGTAATAAAACCAGTTTATGTGACACTCATGCAGATATATAACTTCCTGACTCTAACTTCATCCATATCATTTTTATCCTAAATAAAGCTACAGAATTTTCTTTTGCTTTAGATTATTGATATAAAAATTATTTATCTTAAGAAGCTTAAGTTAGCGTAATGAAAGCAGTAAATAAAATGGTAATAAAACCAGTTTATGTGACACTCATGCAGATATATAACTTCCTGACTCTAACTTCATCCATATCATTTTTATCCTAAATAAAGCTACAGAATTTTCTTTTGCTTTAGATTATTGATATAAAAATTATTTATCTTAAGCAGCTTAAGTAATTAATTGCTTCCTTTCTTGTGCTACAGTGGAGCTACCTATTATCTGTATTGTGTTTAAAAGAGGTGGAGCATCAGGCTTTTCCTTTTTTTTTTTACCAGAAATTGCCCCTTATAGATCTCTGCTCCAAATCCACTAGACTTAACAAGGAATGATATTATGGATTGCATGGGTGATATCAACACTAATTTGTTTACTGCTAGGAAAAAGAATCATTACTTACAAGTTATGATGGTGGCAACTGTGTGTCCTGATGGTTAAGGCAGCTGGATCCCACATGGCCAACCCTGTGGTTCAAGTCCCACACCTGGAATCTTGAAAAACATTCTGGGGCATGTGTATAAATGCCCAAAATCCTGAAAGAAGAGAGAGATGGAGGAGAGATTGCAGTATGACATTCCCCATTGGGGGGTGCTTTCTCCCTTCCCTCTCTCTCTCTATCTCCCTCTGGAGAGCATAGGCACCTTGGGCAGAAATTAAATATATATATATTAATTGTGTATTTGTTGCACTGTTTATAAATAGATGTCAATGTGCTACTGTGAATTATAATGTTTTCATGTACCATGTACTACTAACCAATATATAACATATAGTATGTTATCAATACAGTATATAAATATACCATATATAGTGTACTATCAAATGAAGTATATTAATTTTTCTCATCCCCCAGAATATCATATTCTAAAATAAACTCATGTTTTCAAAGTAATAAAACAGTACAACTAGTACAAAATAGAGGAACAAAATTTCAGGAGAATATGGACTATGTATTTTTAAAACCTAGTGCAACAAATACATAGTTGCTACAAAACTCATACTTAGGATTCACACTCATTGATATAAATCCATACAATACTTTGGTAGGGAGCATGTCCATATTTGATACTTCCTTCTCCTATAAACACCTCTGCTTATAAAATACCACAAAACTGTAGCTACTCGTAATTCAGGAGTAAAGCCAGATGTTTCTCAAAAGAGATTATAACCAAAGAAGTTATAGGCTAAACTTTGACAAAAACCCAAGCACACGTTTTCCATGACCACAGGACTCATGTATGTTTGTTCTCCTTTGTCTCATTTGCAAAAGTGATTTAATATTTTGTAAAATGGCCACAGCTTTCTTCCTGGAAGGGCAATAATGAAAAACAGTCAATATGACTGCATTCCAGCCAACTGGATTGTTTTTGGCAAGCCAAGGGAATTATAAATACATGTATAATGTATATAGCCATTGAACTGGCTGGGCACAACCTGTTCTCTTTTACAATGATGGCTGCTCTTCTTTATGGTATTTTGAACAGACGATGAGCCAGACGATGGTGCCCAGCATTACATTATAGTTGTGGGCTTCAACAATCCTCAGCTATTAGCAATTATGACTGAACTTGGCATTCCTATAACCAGCGTGATTAAAATATCTTCGGAGAATTATGAACCTCTGCAGACACACCTGGCAGCAGTTAGCCAGCAGCAGGAAGTTTTTCTTCAGCCAGAAGGTATGCAGTCTGTTACACAACTTGCTGAGTCCTTCAATATTACCCACTGTTCTTAAACTACAAATACAATTTGCTGTCCAAAACATAGTCATACAATACATACATTAGTAAATCCTTTTGAGATTTTGATTTGCTATTTATTCTGCTTGCATCAGCCAAGTGTTATAAATTTCACAAATTAAAATTGTGCCCTGTATTTATATTTCTGTTTAGTCAGAGAAAACATAGGCTACAGGTCAGAAGGTTTGGTTCTCCAGTTATATTTTACAGGAACATTTGATCTATAACTTTTACCTAAAACATGGGGTGGATAGATCACTATTGATAATCTGGGCTTTCGGAATCTGTAGTCCCCAAGGAACATACCAGCCTTGGATTCTTGACTGGCCCTGCTAAAAGTCAGGAGGCATTTTATCTTCCTGGCCCTACACACGGAAGTTGTAGTATGTCCCAACTATACTACTATTCATCCATTTTGAGCCTCAGGATCTTCATCTAAGAGAATTTTTTCAGACTCCTTATGTGAGAAGGGAACAAAAAGCTACTGTATACTTGAGCTAACAGAACTGAGACCCAGCATAAGCTCTGTTACCTTAAGTCCAAGGTCTTTCTGCTATCTGTTGTTTCTTTAGTATTATTTATTAATAATATTTTCACTGTGCTTTGTAACATATACAGCCACATCCCCATTTCTCTAACACTACATTTTTTAAATTGTGGTTTAAAATTAGAAATCAGCCCCCCTGGGCCAGCCCATGACCTGGAGGTTAAGGCAGCTGGATCCCACATGGCCAACTTCCCCATTCAAATCCTGGTTTAGCTACTTCAAAACAAAACATTGGGCATGTGTGCATGCGTGCCCCAAATCCCAGAAGGATGGAGACATGGGAGAGAAGGGACAACAGTGTAACCATGCCCTATGAGAGGTACTTTCTCTCTCTCTCTCTCTCTCTCTCTCACTTTCTCTCTCTGGTGAGTACAAATGTGCTCTGACAAAAAATTTTAAAATAGTTTAATTTTAAAAAAGAAATCAGGGACCAGCAGTTGGCATCATGGCTATGTCTCTGGACTGCCATGTAGCTGACTGCAGTTCCAGTCCTGGATCCAGTGACTTAAACTCATGCCAGGAACATGTGCATACATGCCAATACCCCAAGAGGAGAATGGAGGAGAAGGGATTGTAGTGTGGCTATACACTCTGGGGGCAATTTCTTAGTTTTTATCTCTCTGTTTCTCTCTGTCCTTCTGTCAAGCACATGTGCCCTTAGCAAAAGCCTCTCAAAAACAAACAAACAAACAAAACAAAAAAGAAATCACCATCCTTGATAATCATAACAACAACATAATTTGGGTGCATGTCTTTGGAATTAGACTCAGTACTAAGGGGTTTAAATACATTGATTCATATAGTTTTCACGACAACCCTAAAAAAGTATGTTTTATTATTTGTTTTATGAAAAAGGAAGTTTTTATAATTTTACTGAGTTTAAACCATTTTATCATTTTACCAAAAAGAAGGAATAATGGAATTCTTGCACATGTTTAGCTTCCTGAATATCTGACCTTATCATATTCCTCCCAAGCCTCATTTATAAAATGAATGGGTGGTTTAAGCTCATATCTAATACCAATCTCAAAAGTAAAATTTTCACATTTCTTAACCATGCATTTCAGCATGAAACTGCCTCAAAATTATGTCCCTCAACTTGCATTTTCTGGTACTATACAGACATCTTGCAGTACATATGACTCATCACATCCACTTAAGGAGGGAAGAAACTGAATACTCGCATTTTGTAAGTGTAAACTTGTTCTTGTTATTAGATATAGAAGCTGAAAACCTGAAGAAAGAGAATGCCATAAAAGAACTTGAAATTTTCTGGAAGTACTTGGAACCAATCCTGAATAATGAGAGACCTGAAGCAAATCTCTTTGATGTTGCTCAGCTTGAATACATGGTCAAAGCGACTGATTTTCCTTCTGACTGGTCAGACAGCGAGTTAATGGTGAGTGCCCACATTAGTGATAGCACATGGGTTGAACATAGGTTCTACTTCATTCATTCATCCATTCATTCATTCCAAAGATACTTACTGACTGCTGACCACAAAGGCAGCTTTTTACTGTTCAATTATATCTTCAGCATAATTTTTAAATATAATTACTGATTTAATTTTATTTATTCATTCATTTATTTTTATTTGACCAGACAGTGACACACAGAGAGAGAAAGAGAAAGTGAGAAAGCAAGCTGCCAAGTTCAGGACTCAAACCATGGTTGGCATGTGGGAATTTCCAGTGCTTTAACCATCACACCACCTGCTGGCCCCTCTTCAGCATAATTTTAACATTGAATACCTGAGGACGATTTTATAAACTGATTCTTTAGATTTTAGTGTATGAATTAATAACAAAGAATAAGATGTAGTAGCTTAACATAAAGGGTGGTGATTCTTTTATTTGGTAGCATGCAGCTTTGTTTCATACTCCAACAATGTTCCAGGCAGTAACTAGAAAATTAATATATATTAATTGTGCAAATGGTAAATTTTATATAGTTTGTTGAATTACATGTCTGTCTTTTTTTAATATGTCAGTTCAAACCTTTTGCTAAGTCCTTGCTTCTATTGCCAAAATCTTACGTTTAGAGTATTTGATCAAAAGGTCTGTCCTACTAGGAAGATGTGACTCTGACCCCACAGTTAACAGGTATTTCCTGAGAACATTTATATGCCCCTGCTATGGAGGAGTTTGCAAAAAGGAACAACTAAAACCATGAAACAGTAAAGCAAGGCGTAAGTGTGAGGTGGACATACAGGTGCTCAGTTATGTGAAAGACATTCTCAAGTTTTCTATGAATTCAGAAAAAGAAGAAATGAGGTTCTTGGGAAAGTAGTGAGTTCCAGATATATAAGAGTTTTTCATTTTTTGTTTTTTTGTTTGTTTCCTTTAAGAAGGTTAGATGCCTATTTATCAAGGTATACCTGTGTTACGGGAACCTGTCAGATCTCTTTCTGCTTTACCCTCTTCTCAAAAAATGGTGCCCAAGAGCACAGATTCCCCTGCAGGACTATATATTTCAGCATCAAGGGAGCTGTACTGAAAGCAGAGTCCT